ACTCGCTGCTCCATGTGTCCATTCACACATGGAAGCCACTGTTTGGCCCAGCTCCCCTCTCCTCATTGGCTGACTGGCTGTGATTGACAGCAGCAGGACCCAGTGGCTCCCACTTGCAGCTTTAGCCATTGAGCCAAAGAGCTGGGACTGCTATGGCTGTCGCGCACATCACTGAATCTCAATGGGGCTCAGGTAAGTATTGAGGGGGCCGGGGGCACTGCTGCACAGTGTGTGTGGTGGTGTGGTTTTTTTTTTTTTTTTTGTTTTTTTTTTAACTTTCATGCACTCTAAAAAAAAAAAAAAAAAAAAAAAAAAAAAAAAAAAAAAAAAAAAAACCTTCCTTTACAACCGCTTTGTTTTGCAAAAAAATGTGTAATCTATTGCATTTGCATGCCCTAAAATTGACTTTAGTGTATTTTTTTTACTGAAATTTTGAGCTTGATAAACTGTTGTACTAATGTCATTCAACAATAAAATAGGAACTAAAATTATTTTATTCTCCAAGGTGTCTGATTTCAGAAAATATGTTTTAAAGGTTTTAAGTAATCATGAGGCCAAAAATTATTATTTTTTAAACAAATGCAGAAAACGCAAAGAGCAGCTCTGACAGCAAACTGGTTAAAGCCTATGGACAAACTTTAAGGCCCCGTTTTTACATGCGATTTTGACATTGTGATTTTCACACGATTCTGTATGTTGCATAGCGCCACCCATTGACTTGAATGAGCCGCCCTATGCATGTTTGTTGCCTGAAAAGAAGCTCCTGCTTCTTTTTGGAAGACCGGGTTCACACAATTTGTACGCAGGCTTGCCATGCGACAATCAAGGCAGAACTGCATCACGTTTAGCGTGCCATTGAAGGATATTGGCGCAGTGTGATTTGCTGCGATTCTGTCCGAAATCCCAAATCGAGCGATGTGAACAGGACCTAAGGCTTGACATATTTGGTATCCGGTTTACTTGGTGCAACCTCCTTCTTTTTATATTTTAGCAAAAAAGTGGGTAATGTATTGTATTTCCGTGCACTGAAATGAACTTAGTGTATTTTTTTTTACTGAAAAGATGCTTTTGATAAATTTCTTCTGCTAATGTCACAGTACTGAAAAAAATGGAACTACTGCCATTTGTATTATCTGGGTCTCAGAAAATATATAATGTTTGGGGGTTTTAGCTGATCTTCAAATGCACATTTTATCATGGGCAGATAAAGGTTTAAAGCACTCCAAATCCAATCTGACAACGTAGAATACAGATCATAACAGAAATACTGGCTATAGCTCTAAACATGCTTTTAGCAGGTCTCATCCAGTGTTTATCAAGCTACAAGAAATACAAAAGTTTTAACTTCGCTACTTGTTTGTAGTTGATCTAAAGTATGGGGCTATGCATTTCTTTAAATAGGTAGTTTGGTTACAACTAATTCACATAATCCAGCTTTCTTGATTTATTTAAAGAAAACTAAATACCACCCCCCCCCCCCCCCCCTCAAAAAAAAAAAAAACGCACAAAAGAAAAGTATCCGCAGTTGATTTCCCTGGCAGCGCATTTTCCTTTTGGCTGGTAACTATGCAGTCCTAAGGGTTTAATATAATCTTTCTGTACTGAATCTTAAATCAGTAAAACCTGAAATACTCTAATCTCTTTATTAAAGAATGTGTTCATGTAAGACCAAAGCTGCTTCTGAATGTATCCTGATGTAAAAATGGCTTAGCGTTGTCATTTTTGTACCTTTTTTAACTATAGGCAGCAAGATGGGCAAATTGGGGTGTCAGGACCTGCACTTGAGTTGGAGTCTGTCACAGAGCGATTTATTTGGATGAAAAGCATGGATGGAAGTTGAATTCCCTGATTTCCAGACTAGATGGCAAACACGGACCCAGTCAACCTAACTCCCGAAAAACAATGTGCAGCTTTTAGATAAAGCTGACCATATACAGTAGGGACCAGACTAACTAATCATTTCTGCTCTAAAGAAGTCACTTGTTTGATCGACTTCTGCTGAAGGGACATAGGAAAATTTTCTTGCTTGGTTGGACCTGCTAATTAGTGTTTTCTGACAGCTGCTGGCACTGCTGTCCATAATAAAATGTCTCAGCAGGGGAGATTTCTCCACCTCACTAGTGTGGATGGAGGAACCTGTCCTCTGGCTGAATTAAACAAAAACTAGTGTAGGGTACACATGAGAAATTGCAAGCAAGCTGACAATAAAAAACAATCTTCTCCGTTGTGCCCAGGGGCAGACTGACAACTCATGGGGCCCATGGACAATAGGGGATCATGGGGCCCCAGTGTCCTTGCCCAAACTCAAAAAAGCCTATGAAAAAGGTACCAGGGGCATCTCATGGGGCTCCCTACTGACCTTGGGCCATCGGGAAGTCCCAGAGTTTCCAAATGGTCAGTCCGCCCCTGATTGTGCCTTTTGCGTAAGACCGGCTCCATTAGAACAGACAGCTGTACACACGGGCCAAAGTCTGTCAGTTTTTTGGTCTCTGTGTATCAAGCTTTATACTGCTAATACACCAGTAGAATTTAATTTAGAAGTTTTTATGTTTAAGAACATTCAATTTTCTCATCATTAATGGGGTCAAATTGGCGTTCATTTTCAACCACCACGTCAATAACATTCTAAGAAGCAGGATAGAAATTTTTTTTTGCAATTTCTAATCGCGTATGGTTTTCGTTTGGAAAATTACATTCATTCCAAAATTAAATGTTAACAGCTAAGTTTTTGAAGTACTTTTGAATATTTGTCCAGTCATCAAATGTACAAAGCATTTTCGTACGAAGGTTCGTTCGAAACTCTACCAATGTGTAGCCACTTTAAGTGTGTGGCCAGCTTAAGACTTTCTGTACAGGTATTTTGATTTAAGACAAAATAGATCCACGTTTAATATTCACGTTTCCTTCTTTACCCCCCACATTTGTCCCATTTTATAGTGAAGATATTTTTTTTTTTTTTTATATACAGTACCTTGAAAAAGTATTCACACCCCTTGAAATTTTTCAAGTTACCAAAAACGTAAATGTATTTTATTGGGATTTTATGTGATAGACCAACACAAAGTGGCACATAATTGTGAAGTGGAAGGAAAATGATATAATTTTTTTTTACAAATATCTGAAAAGTGTGGTGTGCATTTGTATTCAGCCCCCTTTACTCTGATACCCCTAAGTAAAATCTATTGGAACCAATAGCCTCCAGAAGTCACCTAATTAGTAAATAGAGTCCACCTGTGTGTAATTTTAATCTCAGTATAAATACAGCTGTTCTATGAAGCCCACAGTGGTTTGTTAGAGAACATTGTGAACAAACAGCATCGTGAAGGCGAAGGAACATGCCAGACAGGTCAGGGATAAAGTTGTGGAGAAGCTTAAAGGATAAGTTCACCTTTTGGGCAAAAATAATAAATGCATTTGTTTGCAGGTAAAGTAGGTGATGCCATGCAGGTCTCCTGCAGAGTATATGCTTGCCGTACGGGGTGTACGGTCAAGCGGATATACTGACAGGAAGCTTTAATGAACTACCACGATGCTCCACAGCGCCATGGTCATTCATTGAAAACTAAAATCGCACAGCTGCAAGGCTGTCAGAACTTGCAGTTAATTTATTCAGAGAAGTCCATGAATGAATGACATGGCCGTGTGGGCAGATCCCAGCACAGCCATGCTGTTTTCAAATTTGACAGGTAGTACGGGGAGATGTTTCTCCGTACGATCTGTCAGGAGGGGGGGGGGGGGGAGGAGTGCAGCGGGCGGGAGTGGCTGCAGCTATGGGAAAAAAAACGGGTGGAACATGTTCCAAAGGTGAACTCATCCTTTTAAAGCAGGGTTAGGTTTGTAAAAAAAAAAATCTTAAGCTTGAACAACTCATGGAGCACTGTTCAGTCCATCATTTGAAAATGGAGAGTATGGCACAACTGCAAACCTACCAAGATATGGCCGTCCACCTAAACTGACAGGCTGGGTGTTACTCAGAGAAGCAGCCAAGAGGCTCATAGTAACTCTGGAGGAAATGCAGAGATCCACATCTCAGGTGGGAGAATCTGTCCACAGGACAACTATTAGTCATGCACTCCACAAATCTGGCCTTTATGAAAGAGCGGCAGGAAGAAAGCCATTGTTGAAAGCCATAGGAAGTCCTGTTTGCAGTTTGTGAGAAGCCATGTGGGGGACACAGCAAACATGTGGAAGAAGGTGCTCTGGTCATATGAAACCAAAATTTAACTTTTTGGCCTAAAAGCAAAACCTTGTCTGGTGGAAAACTAACCCTGCACATCACCCTTAACACACCATCCCCACCGTGAAATGTGGTGTGGGAAGCATCATGTTCTGGGGATGCTTTTCTTCAGCAGGAACAGGGAAAAGCTGGTCAGAGTTAGATGGGAAGATGGATGGAGGAGGTTCACCTTGCAGCAGGACAACGACCCTAAAAATATAGCCATAGCTACAATGGAATGGTTTAGAGCAAAGCATATTCATGTGTTAGAATGGCCCAGTCAAAGTCCAGACCTAAATCCAATTGAGAATCTGTGGTAAAAACTTGAAAATTGCTGTTCACAGATGATCTCCATCCAATCTGACAGAGCTTGAGCTATTTTGGAAAGAAGAATGGGCAAAAATGTCTCTCTAGATGTACAAAGTTGGTACAGACATCCCCAAAGACTTTTGCAGCTGTAATTGCAGCAAAAGGTGTTTCTACAAAGTATTGACTCGGGTGCTGAATACAAATGCACGCCACACTTTTCACATTTATTTGTAAAAAAATTTGAAAACCATTTATCATTTTCCTTCTACTTCACAATTATGTGCCACTTTGTGTTTGGTCTATAACATAAAATCCTAATAAAATATATTTACATTTTTGGTTGTAACATGACAAAATGTGGAAAACTGCAAGGGGTATGAATACTTTCAAGGCGCTGTATATAATAAATAAATATATAATATATTTTTTTTGTTTGTATATCAAAATGTATTTGTTTTGTGTTTTTTCTTTCTAGGCAACAAGTACAGATACCCTAAACAGCATTGCACTGAAATTTAACATTACTCCCAATAAACTTGTGGAAATTAACAAGCTGTTCAGTCACATGATTTTGCCAGGACAGGTAAACTGTTCTATTCTTTCTACCGCTGCATTGTTTGTATTCATTTCTGCAGAATAATTCTCCATTCATATGTAGCAATTATGTTCTGTAGATTTTGCTGTTTAGTGTTTTTTCATTTGAGTATCCAGCTGATTTTAGAGGCTTTACAATCTCCGTCAATATACTTTACTAGGCAACAGTAGTCGGTGAGATGTTGGTTCCAAGTCATGCCATGCACAGCTGCTTTAGATTTTATCATTTTATCTGTTCCAGTTTTGCTAAATTCTACAAATTGTAGACTTTGCAGAATCCACAAGGTCATTTACAGGCCTATTATGGCCAAATTAGTCAGGTTTTCAATTAGGAAAAGGAAGAACAGTCTACCCGGGGTGGGGGTTTTGGGGGGGGTGTGTGTGTGTGTGTGTGTGTGTGTGTGTGTGTGTGTGTGTGTGCTAGAGGGTAAGAGCGGCTGTCACCTCACATTTATTACAATATGACAGGTTCTCTTGTTGGGTCATCTTTTCCATCCACTGACTCTTGCCTTTGCCTTTCTTTTATTGGAACATAGGAAATTAAACCCTATGTTGGAGCTTACACAGGATTTCTGTGCGATTCAGTGTGGTGCAGTTTTCACCTCCTTCATTTTGAATGGGCTGAAATTGCACTGGTTCGCATCAAAAGTAGAGTGCATGGTACTGCAGTACCATGCGATATGGTGCAGGCAACCGCACTGCATTTGCAATCTGCTTTTGGGGTGTCGTTAGGAATACATTGACAACCACAGCAGATCACACACCAAGTGCGTTTTGAATGCGGTGCAGGAAACATGCACAGGGCATGGTTTTCCCACAATGCGTTCTGGTGTGCATGAGCCCTAAAGGAAACCTGTGCTGACTAGCATTGTTTTTAACTAAGTTTACAGTAGCAGGGTTAAAGCTCTTCTTTCTGTATGTGGAGAAATGACTCGCTGGCAGTAACGGGTAGAAATTTGACTAGACGATTTGTGATTTAATCACGAAGACATAGAATGTAGTGATTCATCCAAGAATATCTAACTTAAACCAAAAGAGCTTTTGGTTGGAATGGCCCTTTAAGGCCATCATGCCTCCCCTTTCCCTGGTAAATTCTTCATTTGTATTACTAGGAATGCAACATGAATGAGATTGTGTTACCAGAAGACAAGGCTTGGAAGTTCCACTGATAACTGAACTATCTGTTTTTCAGTGGACGTGGCCTTAAAGGCAAATCTGTGATATGAAATGTGAGTTTTTTTTTCCAAACTTGTCTTTTAGTACACCTAAGAAACCACACCAAAACCACTGCTGCTAAATCAGTAATTGTCCCAGGGTCCCATGGAACCCTAGGGTTTCTCTGGAGGTTGCTAGGGGTCCTTGAGCCATGGCTGGTTGACGTTCCATCTGATGGTGCCTGCATACTTCCCTGGCAAATGTCACTTGGCAAAGCCAGCAGAATGACACCAATTATTTTTAACTGTTTGTAAGGGTGGCATTCTGGCAATCACTGTAATGGTTGCATCCTTCCTATTGACTACCAATGTAGAAGGGAATTTTCCCATTGACCTCTGAATTGGTTTTAGCAAGGGTTATCAAAAGGGTGCATGAAAGCGTTCATTTATAAATGTTTCCACACACGAGCCACACAACTGTCCTCTACAATTCACACATTTTTCTAGTTGACTCCAATTAGGAAAATGTTTGAATCTTGGGGGAAAGTGAAACCTATAATAAACCCCTGAGTCACTGGTCACACCGCTGCAATTTAAAATCGAGTGATTTTTGTGCAATTTCTGAAGACTTTATTGCTACTTGTGAAGATTTTCAACTATTTTTTGCACTTTGCAGTGCGATTTTATTTATTTTTTTTCCTACAGTTTTGTTGTGATTTCACATACATAGAATATAAAGTACTTTTTGAAATCGTGCTGCAGCAAATGGCAAATGTTAAAACACTAACATTCACATTCATTAGATGCGATTTCAATTCCCAAATCGCACCTGAAATTGCAATGTCTGACCGAGCACTATAAAACTATTGCTGCTGTGCCTCTGAGTGTGTTTTATATGGGGAGATTTACTAAAACTGGAGAGTGCAAAATCTGGTGCAGCTCTGTGTAGAAACCAATCAGCTACCAACTTTTATTGTCAAAGCTTAATTGTACAAGCTAAAGTTTGAATCTGATTGGCTGCTATGCACCAGATTCTGAGGTCTCCAGGTTTTGTAAATCTCCCCCATAGTGTAGTGCTTTTTTATACATTCATACAGAGACACTTTTTAGCTTTTTAATCTTCTTTGTATGTATCAGACTTTAGTAGTAAGTAATATTCCTATGTTTTCTCTCAGGTGCTGTATGTACCAATCTGTGAACCCTATGCCAGTGTAAAAGAATCCAATTCTGGTGTTCTCACTTCTCCTGTGTCATCAGATGCAGAGTATGATAAACTTCTGGTGAGTAATGGAATTTCTACATGAAATGCTCCACTTAAGTGTGAAATGATGAAAAGGTTTTAACCACTGAAACAAAGTAAGAGTGGTGTAATCAGGGGCACATTGACTTGATGAAGTTAGCTTGTACATGAAGTATTTTGAATGTTTTTTAAAAGTTTTACAACATTTTACTTAAATATGATGTACACCCTCACCTTGTAAAACAACCCGTTCAGTTTAAAATAGAAATGAAATGCAAAACATTTGTATATAGACATAAAAAATATTCTAAATACTTTTTGTTCTTTTTGTCCCCCTTTTTTTTTTTTTTTTTTTTTTTCTTTAGAAGTGATCACATGTTGTTAGCTGCATGGGGATCTCATGTAGAAGAAACAGCAGTACACTGATTTTCCCAGTGAATGGCTTGCAAGGGGGGGCATGTCAGCATCAATCTGGTCATTGGAAGAGAGCAAGCTGGGCTCCCAGCACAGCTAGAAAACTGACAACGCTGTGCTCTCCTGCTTAGTGTGGTCATTTTCTAATAGGAAAGCAGAGGGACTGTCAGGAATTTCACACGAAGGAAGCAATACAAAGCAAGCAGGATAATTTTTCATACAAGTACATGGTACAGCAGACACAAATTAGGAATATGAAATGTTGGGTTTACATATTCTTTATGTTCACCTTTTAGGCAAAAATAACTACATATTTTTTTGCAGGTAAATAAATGTGCATTTATTATTTTTGGTTGCAGATCGCTGGTGCCATGCTGGTCTGTCAGTATATCTGCTGTGTTTCATTGAGAACTAGAAGCTGACATCCGCTAAAGCTGTTGGGACTTCTAGTTCATTAATTCACAGAACACTGTGAACGAATGATGCGCCCGTGTGGGCAGAGCTCTGTTCAAAAATAACTTCTCCCCACACTGCTGTCATGGGGGGGGGGCGGCGGCTGCAGCATTGGGAACATGTTACATGTTCCACCCTAAAAATGGGTGGAACATGTAAAATGTTCCCAAAGGTGAACCTATCCTCTAAGGATTCAGAACAAAAAACCGTGTGAAATGATGAAAAAGTTTTAGCCATAGAAAGGAAATGAAAGTGTAGCATAATCAGGGGCACATTGACATGATAAGGCTAGGCTATACCGCAATTATTTAAAATGGTTTAGCAGTGGAACTACAAGCAGAAAGAAATCTCCATGAACAATGCAGTGTGCTGAATACATACTACATCTCAATAAATTAAAATATCACCAAAAAGTGAATTTACTTCAGTAATTCTTTTCAAAAGTGAAACTCATATATTATATACTGGTAGATTCATTACACACAGAGTTATATATTTCAAGCATTTCTGTCTTAATTTTGATGATTATGGCTTACAGCTAGTGAAAACTCAAAATTCAGCATCTCTGAAAATTAGAATTATGTGAAAAAGTTCAATATTGTAGATGCATTCTATAACTGAAAACACCTGCAAAGGGTTCCTGAGCCTTTAAATGGTCTCTCAGTCTGGTTCAGTAGGATACACAATCATGGGGAAGACTGCTGATTTTGACAGTTGTCCAGAAAGACAGTCATTGACACCCAACACAAGGAGGGTAAGTCACAAAAGGTAATTGCTAAAGAAGTTTGCTGTTCAGAGTGCTGTATTCAAGCATATTAACCTCTACCCGAATGGCAGCCGGCAAAAACACTCTCCTTTCCGGGTGGACGCCATATGGCATCCTTTGGGGCATGTGCGCAGTTTGCACGCCTGCAGAGCCGAGCAGCGGCGTGATCTGTCACCGGACGTGTACCTCGGACACGGCCGATGACAGATCTGAGTACCGGCCCTGTTGCCGGTACCATGTGACCTGCTGTGACCAATCACAGCAGGTCACATGACAGTTGTATACAATGGATGGCTTCATTTATGCCATCCATTGTATACTAGTGTGTCTAGCTGTGAATGGTCACAGCGATCACATGCACAAGCTGGGCAAATCACAGCCCAGCTGTGTCATGTGATTAGCCAAAAAAAAACCCTGAATGAATCGATGTCATTCAGGTAAATGCTTGCTTATAGCAAAGTAATTCTTTGCTATAAGCAAATTGTGTGAAAAAAAAAAAAATACTGATCACTTCCCCAAAGTAGTACAATGTTATTATGTTAATATTGTACTACTTTGGTCATAGTGAAATATGAAAACAAAATCTTAAAACAGTGGTTCTCAACCTGTGGGTCGCGACCCCTTTGGGGGTCGAACGACCCTTTCACAGGGGTCCCCTAAGACCATCAGAAAACACATTTCCGATGTGTAAAAAGCAGCTGCTGTGTAGAAAGCAGCAGCATTGGAGGTAAAACGACACTCATGAATTTTAATTACAGGGTAAATCATTTTATGGTTGGGGGTCACCACAACATGAACTGTATTAAAGGGTCACGGCATTAGGATAGTTGAGAACCACTGTCTTAAAAAAAAAAAAAAAAAAAACATTTAATAAAAAATTAAAAACAATTTAAAAAAATAATTTTTTTAATACTGTCACCAGTCAGTGTCCCTGATCACCGCCATGCAAGTTATGATGATGCTGTACTGCACTGGTAACAATATGTAAAAAAAAAAAAATTGTGAAAATAGTTTAATTTTCCGAAAAATTATGACAAAAAAATACAACTTCAAAAAACTCGACATGCCTCTTATGAAGTACGTCGGGCTGTCTACTCTGCAAAAAGGGGTCATTTGGGGGATAGCTGTACTGTTCTGACATTCTTGGACCTCAAGAAATTAGATTGGCCGTCAGTACTTCAGGATTGATCATTATTCAGATCTATACCTTAGTTTGTGAACTCTATAACTTTTTTACAGACTAAAAAATACATCCTAATTTGGGTTATTTTCACCAAAGATATGTAGCAGAATACATCTTGGCCTAAATTTATGAAGAACAATTATTTATTTGTAAACTTTTATAACAGAAACAAAGAAAAAGATGTTTTTTTTTTTTTCAAAATTTTCGGTCTTTTTTTGTTAATTTAGCAAAAAATAAAAACCTCAGTGGTGATTAAATACCACCAAAAGAAAGCTCTAGTTGTGAAAGAAAATTATAACATTTTAGTTTGAGTACAGTGTTGTATGACCGACCGCGCAATTGTCATTCAAAGTGTGAGAGCGCTGAAACCTGAAAATTGGCCTGGGCAGGAAGGGGGTAAAAGTGCCCGGTATGGAAGAGGTTAATGGAAAGTTGAGTGGAAGGAAAAAGTGTGGTAGAAAAAGGTGCCCAAAGAACAGGGATAACTACAGCCTTGAGAAGATCGTGCAGCAAAGGCCACTCAAGAATTTGGGGGAGATTCACAAGGAGTGGACTACGGCTGGTGCCAGTGCTTCAAGAGCCACCACACACAGATGTATCCAGGACATGGGTTACAACTCTCAAATTCCGTCTTGCCTAGGCCAAGGAAAAGCATCCTGGGCTTCCATAACACCTCAGCAGTGCCAAAGGCTGATCACCTCCATGCCACACTACATTGATGCAGCATTTCATGCAAGAGGAGCCCCAACCAAGTATTGAGTGCATGCTATACTGTACATGGACATACCTTTCAGTAAGCCAACATTTCTGTAATAAAAAAAAAATCTTTTTTTTCATTAATCTTCTGTAATATTCTAATTTTCTGAGATACAGAATTTTGGGTTTTCATTACCTGTAAGTCATATTCATCAAAATTAAAAGAGAGATTCTTGAAATATATTACTCTGTGTGTAATGAACCTATAGAATGTATATACTTTTTTTTTTTTTTTTTTTTTTTTTTTTATTATCTGAAATTAACTTTTTGATCTAATTTTTATTGAGATGCACCTGTATATCTCTGTTCTAAAATCCCCCTAAACAAAAATGAGCGGTTAACCCATGCAGTGTGGGCACAGCCTCACTGTGTGGGAGAAAAAAATTGCCTGGAGTTCTTCTTAAAAACAAACCCGTCTGCTGTTTGGAAAATGTAAGTGAAGTAAAAGCACTGCTATGAATCTACACCACAAGAAGTCTGCTATCTCATTTGATCCAGAAAGCTCTCCTCTGTGTGCCCTGAAAGTAGCTTCATGTTGTTACTGGAACCTAGTTTTCCTGACCAGAGGATGAAGTGCCAACTGCCATTCCTTTGCCCAGTGAGAGTGCCCTTACTGGCATTATGATCAGACAGTAGAAGGCAAATATTAAAGCTTATTGATGAACTCAGAGAAGTCAAACATCTAACAGCAAAATAAAACTGGATTATTAGAGGCACATAAACTAATCTTGATACTAATACAATATTTCGACGTGTACTGTAAAACAAACATTGGCACTAATGTAGCGCGTCCTGCTCCTGGGGAGTTGCCGCGTACAGCCAACCTTACAAGTGAATGGTTGTGCACGGCCATACTCTTGTAAACGCAATGCTTCATTGCATCATCATTTACCCACACAGCATGTGTGCGGGAGTTTCTGGTGGGGGAAATGTGTCGGACATGCATGTATGGGTAACCTCTGATTGTTGGCTGGCCTAGTGTAGTCTGTGTGCATGACACTGCAGCAATAATTCAACTCATATGTGTTCACTGAAAGTACACTTTACTTTCCTTTTTATTATTTTCATACCACCATTTGTTTTTGTTTTATTTCAAGGACGCAGACTTGGCAAGAAAAGCCTCAAAACCAATAGAAAGAGTCTTCTCGTCAACATCAGAAGAAGAGGAGGCCACAGAAGTAAAGTTTCTGAAAATGAATTGTAGATACATCACAGATGGAAAGGTAATTTTAGTGAGATTTGTGCCAGTCCTTAGATGAAATGGCCATATTAGGTTTCTTTTTTTTTTAATCTTTTATTTTCACCGCATAATGCGATTCCTGTCCTAGCGTGATAACTCATTCATTTTACTTTGTATGTTTACTCAGCGTTGTCACCCTAGGGCCGGAAGTGCTAGGACTACAGAACACCGCTCCCTTGCCTCTTTTCTACACCATAGGGGAAGGTGTAGTTGACACAGGAAACTGGAAACAATGTAACAGACAGTCAGCCAAGCCAGAGAGCACAGGACCTTACACATGATAAAAAAAGGGAGCAAATAAAAGGAGGATATTGTTGGGGTTTACATACACTGTAACGTGTATTCTATACATTATGTTCTCCTATATACCAGGGCTCAAAATTTCAAGTCCTGAGCTACTAGCCAGGCCATATGAGTTACTCCCCACCAGTTGCCCCGCCCCTAAACCTGCCCTGGTAAAATCTCATGAAATGCCACTGTTAAATGTTTTATGCAGAATAAAGGTATAAAAAGAAATATTAACAACTATAACAATCATTACAAAAAGCACTGTTAACATAAAAGGAAAATTATGTGCTTTACATCAATAGAAAAACAAAATTACACACAGTATGTCAGTGGTGGGAGGGGGGGGGGGGGTAATGAAGGGAGGGAAAAAGAAAGAAGGGGGGGGAGATGAAGGGAGGGGAGTGAAGGGAGGGAGGGGAGATGAAGGGAGGGAAAAATAAAGAAGGGGAGAAGGGAGGGAGGGGAGTGAAGGGGGGGGGGGGAGGGAGAGGTGTCAGACACGCATGGCTCAGTCATCACAGGGCTGCTGGCTGGTCTGTATTCTATTTCCTGCCCACACATCCCCTTAGAAGCTGCACGGGCTGCAGTGGCACAGGGGTGAGCAGAGCAGATCCAGCCTCTCTGCTCTCCTATTGGTGCAGGGGATGTCGGGAGGGGCTGGGCACTGAGGAGCACATGGGGGGGGGGGGGGGGGGCGCAGAAAGACCGGGTAAATTCCATATACAGTCAGGGATGGTGGGGGCAGTGACAAGCAATGATCTCCCTGTATGGCTTTCAGTGAAGCAGCTGGAAGCTGATTCTCCTTTCTTCCATGGCTTTTAGCTGTTTAATTGAAAGCTATACAGGGAGATTGCTGCTTGTCACTGCCCTCACCACCACCCTAGTCCTGGCCCTGCTCGGCCCCATGTAATTTCCACTTGCCAAATGCGAGCAGATGAGTGGAAATTGAGGGTGGATATGCAGTATATATGTATATATTCTATATGTTTAAAGTGGAATATATCTAAAAGTTATGTATGCACAGCTTGGCTTTACTTCTGCAAGAAGGCAGACAAAGCTGTCAGTTTAATGCAGTAATATTCTAAGTATTCTGAAATAATTACTATTCTAATCAGCAATGCCTTTTGTATTGATTTGATATAATTTTTTTTTCTATATTATAGTTTTTTAATGGAACAATATATCATTGCCAACTGTTGTTGAAAACACACTAATTATACAGCACGTGCACTAGGATTTTTCTTCTCTTTAGTTTTTCCTAATGCACAGGCAGTACTGCTGGATACATGCTTCCCTTCTCTTAAATACTAGATAGTGCAGGAAAGAGTAATGCTGGCTATATATGGATCAAAAATTCGGCTGGTTCAGCAGGAATCGGCCAAACTTCAATCCATGTGTAGGCAGGATGGTTGTACAAAAGTCAGTCTACAGATTGACTTCTGTACAGCTGCCTTGTTGGAAGATTTTTGCCATTGTCATCAATATAGCCACTGTGTGTACAATTGTGATCTCTGTAATTGGTCACAATGATCACTGGTACAGCGGCCAATTGCAATGGACCTGTAACATGTGATAGCAGTAAGCAATCACAGTAGTAAGCAAGGTTTCATGAATGAACCCATTTGAACAGTACTAGAGATTGCTTATTATAGTGATCATCACTGTAGTTAGTGTAAAAATAAATAATACTGACCACCTCCCCAGAGTAGTATAATGTCACTATGGTGACTCTGTACTGCTCTAGTCACAGTATCTAAAAAAAAAAAAAAAAAGTAAACAGAAGAAAAAACCCAGTGGTGCTTAAATACCTCCAAAAGAACATTCGATCTGTCTCAAAAAATGGTGCAGATTTATTTGGGTACAATGTTGCATGATTGAGTAATTGTCATTCAAAGTGTGACAGTGCTGAAATCTCTATATTATACTCGCTGTGGAACCTAAGGGATTAATCCTTTGCATTGTGTAAAAAAAAAAAAAAAAAAAAAAAAAGTGTTTGGTCATGCCTTCTCTGATCCTCCCCTTCCAGTGTCCCCCTCATCTCCTGATAAGACATAACGTGTGGAGTCACTCTGCACATGCTCAGTTTTGTGTGTATTGCTAGAGAGGTTTTTTTTTTCTTGGGAGAGTACATGTGTACACTGTCCAGACAGAGGGTCAGGGGTCCTGTATCCTCCTACAGCAGAAAGAAACTCCTCCTTAGAAGTCAGACTGTTAAATTCTGCTGATGAGCAAAGGTATTTAGCAGTGTACATTTACTAAAATAATTGCATTTCCATGTTCTGTGTAGTGTGGGAGACCAGATATAGTGAATGTAGGGTCCTGGGTTTAGTAACACTTTAATCTGATTACAAAGGTAAAGGAAATAATCTGCTTTTCATGATTCTCCAGGGTGTTGTTGGTGGAGTAATGATAGTCACACCGAACAATGTGATGTTTGATCCCCATAAATCTGATCCACTGGTCATTGAGAATGGCTGCGAGGAGTATGGTCTTATCTGTCCAATGGAAGAAGTAGTGTCCATTGCACTTTACAGTGATATTTCACACATGAAGATAAAAGATGCACTGCCATCGTAAGTAACTGTCTAAGTAGAATATCTCTTTACTCATGCCAAATTGTTTAATTTTTATTTTATCAAGTAAGTAACCTCCTCTTGGAGTCAAGCTTTGCCCACAGTGGCTTTTGGGGCCAAAGCTCCATCACACATAAATGGACTACTCCACGAAGTGCCAATTACCTAGCACAGCCCTTTTGTTCCTTGCACGTTATAGCTCTTTTCTGGAAACCTGTGCTGTAATTACTGACCCCCTCCTCTCACCTTCCTACATAAGGCAGCCCATACATTAGTCATCATCCATGGCCCATTTCCTCCATCTACATGTTTGAGTTGGATGGGGGAATCCCTCCCGCTCAGCAATTGTGTTCTGGCAGCGGAGAGACTTCTGTCATCAGAATACGCTGTCAGCTATAGGAGGTGATGCTGATCGGTAGATCAACTTCTGTACAACCAGCCTGCCAGTACATGGATCGAAATTTGTCTGCTCCCTTCTGAACTGGATGAATTTTGACAGTTTATGTAGCAGGCTGTGAAAGAGTGAAAGGAAATACTATAGTATGTCACTTGAGTGCCAGCTGTGGTGTGCTGGGGCTGCTGTCATCACATTATTTATTGTTGAAATAAATGGACTGGTGACAGTAGCTCTTTATTCAGAAAGTAACACAAGATTCTGCTTTAAAGGTTTTGAGTATACTGTATATATCTAGTTGTTGCTAAACTGATTTTTGTTGTGGCTAAAACTGTTCAATAATGAAATGTTTGTATTTAATTATTTTTTGTATTGGTGGGTAAAACTAGTATGCACCAGTTGATACATCATTGCTTTTTAATTGCTTGCACACAAATTTCCTGAGTGTTTTTTTTTTTTTTTTTTTTTTTTTTTTTTTTTCAAAAATATCTGTGCTATGTGGCTAACTTTTCTCTCTTTTCACTGATAAGATGGAGAGGAGGGAACCAGTAACGTCTGCACCATTTCTGTCCATTGTGTGAATTACAGGGCCATCTATGGCAGGTCCCAGCAACAGTCAAGCATGGGCACATGTCTCTCAGTCTTGTTCTTCACCCCTTGCCAAGACATCTTCTTGTCTTTGCATATGCTAACCAATAGCAACCTATTACATTTTATTTTACTGGCATCAGATGGTATACAGAAGGAGTTCTGATTGCTTGCTATGGGTCATTGCACATTGTGTAGTACCAGTGGTTTTTGATTTGCTGTTTAAGAGTAGGACTCAAGAAATGTTTTTAGTAGAGTATGCTGTACACACAATCTAAAGATTGTCTGTGCAGCGTTTTCACCAGTGAAAACGTCTGCCATTTGGGATCTTCACCCTGGGCACTGGATGACCTTGTCCCGGCACTGCTCCAGAGTGGCCCCTGCTACCAGATACCAGAGCTGTCCATCACAAATCCATCTCTTTCTAACAGACAGTACTTCTCCTTTAAAAATGTTTGTTTATCTGGGTGTCTTGCTGACACTCATACTTTGTTACTGACCTCACAGTATGGCCTCTTCCCCTATCTGCATACGTGTTTATGGTGAGTGACTCAAATATTGAATATTGCAAACCAGGCAGATTGGTTCATTTTAATTTTTTTTTTTTTTGGCTTGAAGCTCAATTGAACGTCTAGTTCAATTTTTGCTGCAGAGGCCCGACACATCACCTGCTGAGTCAAATCAAAAGCTGCAATCGGGAAAGCTCAAACTCCTTGCTGATTTGGAGAGCTGTAACTCTGACTCCGCAATGTGGGTGCATTGGAACTTTGCAGAGAGACCACTTTTTCTACACTGAGTTCAAGGGTCCTTTTTTTGTAGCTGCTGGCAGAGAACAGGTCTTTTTACTCATGATGTGGCTGTTGTTTAAAGCCATGTGTTGATGCTCCTGAAGTTTATTTTAGCTGATTTTAAAGTTCATTTGGGCATAAAGAGGAGCATTAGTTGAAAGACCAATTAGTAGGAAGGTTTTTTTCGTGTCAGTCTCTTCTGCAATAAAAGCTTCCTTCCTGCTCAAAAGTACAGGCGTACCTCGATTTTTACTAATTTAATTTGTTCCGCGGGACTTTTCGTATTGCGAAAAATTTGTAAACCGAAATGCAGTTTCCAATAGGAATGCATTGAAAACCAATTAATCCGTTCTGGAGGTCAGAAAAAAAGTTTAAAAAAAAGTCTTATCTGTTCAAAACTCTTTATAAAGTGCACTTTAAAGGCATAGTACTGTACAGGGACATGATTAAAAAAATAGAAAATGCATTGAAAACCAATTAACCAGTTGCGAAAAAAAAATTTGTAAACCGAGCCATTATTTTCAATGGATTTTAATTCGTAAACCGAAAATTACTTTAACCGAGGTGTTCGTAAACCGAGGTATGCCTGTATGTGATTGTTCCCTGGCTGCCCAAACCACCACTAGAGGCAGTATTTCATGTCTGCATATAATACACATACAATGGAAAAGCAGGCAATTAAAGTAAAATTGGTTTAATAAAAAGAATGTTTAAATAAATGTTAAATCAGCAGCCCAGAATATCTACCCAAATATTCTGTAGTTTCTGATAAAACGGCAGCTACTTTTGTATGGAAGATCGTCCATAGGTCACATCATTGTGATTTGTGCACTTTTTTTTTTTTTTTTTTTTTTTTGCGCTATGGTAAGAGGCTTACAGCAGGGGCAGTTGGGTATATCTGTCCCGCTATTTCACATGTTTCTTCACTTGGACACAAGGACTTTTTTAAGCAGTAGGGAAGCCTGGTTCAAAACACCTGTGCTTGGATGAAAAATTTAAGCCCTGTGCAAGTTGGCTGATGATATATAATCTTCAATTTTAATTTTGATCTTCATAGTGGGGCGGTGTGGTAGGTTCTACCATTTGCTATAATCTCCTGAATTAGGTCTAGTGTTGTAATAGTAAATATTGTTCATAAGGTATACTTTCAGACCAGTCTTTCTCAAACTTTTAGTCCCAGAGGAACCCTTGACTAAAATCTTTTTTTTTTTTTTTTTTTTTTTTTTTTTTTTCAGGGAACCCAGTTCATTTGGAATCAGTGGGGAAAATGCCCAATACATTTGTGGCCAATTGGAAGAGTGCCCTCTGCCCCACTCACAATGGTGGTCAGAATGCCATCCTTTTTGGATGTCATTGGAGTCCTGCTGCTAGCTCTGCCAAGTGGCTATGGCCTTAGAACTATGTAGAAGGAACCCCTAGCAACTTCTGGAGGAACCTTAGGGTTCCATGAAACCCTGATTGAGAATGGCTACTTTAGACATTTTGATTTTCTTTTGCGGGAACATACCTAGAGGTCTTTGCTGGAGATGGCCTATTTGTGCAATGTACTACCTTTTTTTTTTTTTTAATTTGACCTAAAGCATTGTACAGACATTTGAGCGTGATCCAACTCCCCAATCAGGGGTGAGAATTCTTGCAAATCCCATCTCACACACTTGTTGCTGTTTGTAGATATAAAATATATATATATATATATATTATTATTAAATTATTATATTTTTTCATATTAAAGAGTCATTTTAGTTGTAGGTGGAGCCTGGTAAATTGACTTATCTCCTGGCTTCTTATGTTTTGGATACTCCAGATCTTCCTGCTATTATTCCAAAATTTTGCCTCCATTTCTGCCCACCTTTCCTTGTTCTAGCATTCCACTGTTGCATCATTCTTTTGAAGTGTAAGTTCGCCTTTACAGAAAATCTGTAAGGTGACCTTACACTGGGCACCCGATCCCTCTGTGCCAGTGTCCTGCGATCCCCTGCTGTCGGACACTGGTACGCCGCTTCACCAGTCTGAGGATTTGAAATCCCGTGGCTTGATCTCCTATTTATACGGCCAAGATGCATTCTGATTGGTCAGTGTCCTCAATCTAGAATCTCTCTAGCCCATCCTGTCAGCGGTGAGAGGAGAGAGGGCACAGAGGTTTTCAAATCCTCAGGATGGTGAAGTATTGTCCCTTTGCTTGCCAGAGGGGGATTGCAGGACACTGGTACAGCAGGACCCGGGGGGATGGGAAGGGGGTCCAGTGTTAGGTCACTTTTACATTTATTTTTTTTTGTAAAGGTAAGCTTACACTTTAAAATGGGGTGGAAAAAGTGAGTGCTACTTTTTAATGACCTCAGTAGGTATGCATACCCAGGAACTTGTGTGCAGAGATCCCAGTAATAGTGAAACCAGTTTTTTCTTCAGTGGTATGGCCTACTTATAGAAATATAGCCAAATAAAGAGAGCACTGTAACACTCCTGAAATTTTGTGGGCAATTTACAGGTAATCTTAGTTTCCTTTGCAGTATTCATGGTAGTCGGGCCAAGAGAGGTGATGTTTGCAGCCCCTTTGTTACAATAATTACTTGTGCTTTGACTAAACCACCAATCACGTCATTCACAAAACATCCGCTTATTTGAGTTACTTATGAGTTTTTTGCCATGCCTTTTTTGTTTTTTTGAACCTTCATTTTTTTCAGTATTATATTCTTTCCTTAACGTCATTGTTTTGTTTTTCATTTATATTTAAGTAAGGTTTTTTTTTTTTTTTAAATTTTAATTTTTTTTCATTTTAATTTTTTCCCATTTTTAACATTCCACACCCATCCATCACTTTTCCCCTTAACAGCGATAGACCAAAGGATCTTTGTCCTCTGTACAGGCCTGGGGAGTGGGAGGACCTCTCCTCAGAAAAGGACATCAATCCATTCAGCAAGTTTAAGTCCATGAATAAAGGGAAAAGGCAGGATGGGGTTACTGCTGTGGAGGACAGGAAGATGATGGAAACAGATGCAGGCACTGAACCAGATACAACTAAGCAACTTGACAATACACCGACTGTACAACTAAATGTGACTGAAGCTGACACAAAGGATACTAAAAGGTCCAATGAAATCATTCTGAGCTCTAATCCCAAAAAATCTGACCAGTCCCCCACCGAAGATGATTTTATTGAATTGGTCGAGACTTTAGTCCAGCAGAATGACAATCAAATTTGTCACCAGTCAGAGGGAACGGTAGTGTCGTCTGGGACTGAAGATTCCAGGATATCAAACTCTGCTTTTACCCAGGAAGATCTGAACTTTAATGAGACCACAGACTCTGTAGATAGAACAAATACTGAGGGTGTCATGCATGAGCCATCACCTGATCACAAGAACTTGATTGATACCAAAAATATAGAACTTTGTCTAAGTCCTACTAAAGACAAAAACTCTACCCCAACGGATTGTGTCAACTCGGAGTCCTGTGACGCTATTAATAATGTGCCACAAAGTGAAGCATCTATCTGTACCAACTCAAACTCTGATAAGACTAGTGAATCCACTGCTGCTAGTTTAAATACAGAGAAAGCCCAATCAAAGTTAAGCCATGCCTCAGATGAATCTCCAGATTCTTTGTCACCTTGTTCACCTGAAGACAATAGCAAGAAGGAGGCCCAGATGGACAGCGAGTCTGAATTAAAGATGTGGTTACTGAAGAGGATGCAAGGACCAATAGAAGGTGAGATTTTACCATTAATTGAGTAAAGACATTAATGCTGAAGCACGCTAATTGGAAGCAAGCGGCAATCACTGTAGTAGCAGTGCCTACTACAGTCATTTCCAGCTTAGACAGGGATCCCAAAAATTATCATACCTAATATTCATCTTTAAAGCTGAAGTTCTCTTTGCTTTTATTTTATCTTCCTTGCCTCCCATATCCCCAATCAGCATGCTAAACAATATGTTTTCATCATTTTAGACCTAGTGACAATGTCTGTGCTTGACACTAGGGGAGTTATTTACTAAAACTGGAGAGTGCAAAATCTGGTGCAGCTCTGCATAGAAACCAATCAGCTTCCAGGTTTTATTGTCGAAGCTTAATTGAACAAGCTGAGGTTAGAAGCGGATTGGTTACCATGCACAGCTGCCCAGATTCTGAGTGCATCCGTTTTAGTAAATCTCCCCTTAGGTCTCAATGCAGACAGATCATAATTGATGGGAAGTGTCAGCAGGGAAAAACAAGATGTGGTAATGGCCACGTGTAATGCTGAGCTTCCACAATTGAAAGAACTGAACCCCAATGAATGAAAGGGGAGGGCCAAGGGCAGTCTGCCTGTGAAGGAAGTGGCAAAATGTTTTCTGCATTTACCTTAATGCAGGTAATGCATTAAGGTAAAAAAAAAAAAAAAACGTGTTGGCTATAGAACCACTTTAATACAGAAATTTGTGTGCACCCATTTCAAAACACGATGAAAGGGGCAGGTATAAACATGCAAAAGAGAGGCAATTAATACTTAATATTCAGTATGATATTTATAACGTTATATAACGTCCCATTTGTAGTTTAACTACTTCAATGCAGGGCACTTTTATCTCCTTCCTGTCAAGACCAATTTTCAGCTGTCACACTTTGACAATTGCGCTATCATGCAACACTCTACCCAAATGAAATTTGTATCATTTTTTTTTCACAAAAATAGAACTTCCTTTTGGTGGTATTTAATCACCATTGGGTTTTTTTTTTAATCTTTTGCTAAATAAATGAGAAGAGACCGAAACTTTAAAAAAAAAAAAAAAAAAAAAAAAAAACACGTTTTTTCTTTCTGTTAAAATTTTGCAAATATTTGTTTTTCATAAATGTAGTACAAAATGTATTCTGCTACATTTCTTTGTTGAAAATAACCCAAACCCATGTGTGTGTTTTTAGTCTGCAGGAAAGTTAGCGGGTCTACACACTAGGGTATATATCTGAAAATGTAGCATTCCTCATTTCTTGAAGATTTTTTTTTTTTTTTTTTTTTCTACATACTGTTTCCAGTACAGGTACAGAGTCGTTGTATAACTGGGGTGGTAATGATCGGGGACACTGGTGACAGTACAAAAAATTTATATATATATATATATATATATATATAAAAATATTATATTTTTTTTTTTTTTTTTTTTTTTTTTTTTTTTTTACACACTGTGGCTTTCTCTCCTCTTTTCAGTATGACGGTACAGATTATATCTAACTGGTCAGCACCAACAGTGCTACCCGGTCATAAACCATATATCGAATATCATACTGCAATAGAAAAAGTTTCGGGGATTTCAAATCCCCGGACATGTGAACCGGCTTTTTTTGTCTGACAGCAGGGGAATTGACAGTTTGACATCGGGATTGGGGAAGATTTGGATTGGAACTGCTGGAGGCTGGGGGGAGAGAGCCATGGGAGAGGCAGAAGGCAGGAGGAACCCAAGCCATGGCTGCTAATGTCCACAGTGGGATTGGGACATGGAGCTGGTGGAACCCGTCATGCAGGGAGGTTTCCAACACCACTCCTGTGTGAACTCCGGCTCAATGTCACTATGACAAGCCTGGCTTCACAGGAGCTATGCAGGAAACTGCATGGAATTCAGAAAGGAATCACAGCATTTTCTTTTTAAAATTGCATGAAACAGTGCGATTTGAGCCCATTCGCTTTGTATGGGCTCAAATCGCACCACAAAGGATTGGTAGGCTGGAGACCAAAAAAAGTCCATTCGGGGGCTTTTTGTTCAAATCCCCTTGATTTGTCCCATCATTTTACTGACATATCGAAAATAAATATACATGTGAACCCCGGCGTGGAGTTTTTTTGTTGTCTGATCAGCAATAGAAGAACACAGGCTGAACATAATACTACACAAACATTATATGATGCCATGGTTTAATTCATAACATGACAGTGCAGGGAGGAAAAAGTATTGATCTTTAATGATCCCAGAGCTAATTGGGCCAGGAGTGAGCCAACCTTGATCAGGTGATGATATTGGATGTGTTGCTGACAGCTGTCCTGCCCTTAAAAAAACACACACCTGTTTTGCTGGAGCACTGTCTGGTGAGACCATGCCTGGAAAAGAGCTCTTTGAAGGCATTGGACTTGCATGAAGCTGGAAAGGGAACCCAAGCCATGCTGTTAATGTCCACAGGGGATTGGGACATGGCACTGTTGCTGGGTGTAAAAAACCCGTCATGAGGTAAAGAAGAATGCAGGGAGGTTTCCAAATCTCTGGCACATGCTAACATTTTTGTTGAACTCCTACAATAAGGAAAACATTAAACAAGAAAGGAGTACATGGGAGGACACACACGGAGGAAGCCATTGCTGTGAACAAGCTGGCTTCACTACTGGCAAGGAGCTACTGTGCAGGAAACCTGTTTGGGAATTCACACAACAAGGAATCATCAAAACCTCATCCCCACTGTAAAACACTGCATCATGGTTTGGGGCTGCTTTGCTGCCTCTTTTTAAATTGCATGAAATTCTTTGCAAGACATTTTGAAACCATTCGCTTTTGATGCAACAGGACAATGGGCTCAAATTCGCACCACAAACGCCTTTGGAGTGGCCCTTGATTAGAGTCCTGACCTCAACCCGATTGAAATCCTGTGGCATGACCTGATTCACACCAGACAGTACTTTTGTTGACCAAAAAAATATTGTACTCCATACTCACCGGTAAAAGAGTGCTTTTTGTGCATCCCTAATATAAATGATTTTTCAAATACTCTCTTGATTTGTCCCATCATTTTTGACTGACATATCGAAAATGCAAAAATAATATATACTTTTTCTTACTGTATATATATATTATTATATTATATTTATATTTTTTTTTTCTATTCCTCAACATCTATAACTTCCTTTTTAAAATGTAGCCATGTTTTTCTAGAAAAAAGCTGTAAGATAAGGGCTCATCTTGACACAATTTCAAACCCTTCTTTTAGGATGCATGAACAAATACTCTCATTCTACAATATTGGTAAATACCTTTCAGCAGTCACCTGACTTGTGTGTTGAAAAAACTACATTATGATCTTTATTATTTCTCCATGCATCCTGTAGCAATGTTTTCCCCTCTTTTGACCAAAAAAATCACAAATGCTCAAATGCTCTATCTAATATCACTTTGGAATAGGCTTTCTCCAAAAACCTTTCAAGTTGGTTTCGGTCTCAAATTTAGGCTCATTAAAGCAAATACTTTGCAGTCTAATAAACTGTCCAATGGTTGTCCCTTGCAATCGTGTTCTTTGGATGTCCTAAGTTTGCACGTAGTAAAGTATTACCTGAAACTAATTTTCTCTGCAACTCTAATTGAATCAAACCCTTTTTCTCCCCTTCAACTAACATCCATAAATTAAGTATCCCTATCCAACTGCATTGTAGAACTCACATTTAATACATCATTCAAAGAAGCTATAGGAGCAAATAAATTTAATGATCCCATGCAAACAAATCCATTATTGTAGCATGTAAAAAAAAAATCTGTCATCTAAACAGATTGCTGCCATATAAAAACTGGATAGATATAAGGAAAATGTTTCTATCATGACCCTGCACCTCTGGAAGTAGCTATCAACATTTAAAGACCAATAGTTATGTCAAAAAATAATCTAAAGCATTAATTTAATGCTTTATGTCCAGCAGAATACGGACTATAGGGATGTACATAACTGCCGTTAACCCTAATTTATGTGGGATGAAGGATTATAAACTTTGAATGTCACAAGTGAGCCATACATCAACTTAATTCCTATAAATTTCTTCCATTTATTTAACAATTGCTTCATGTCTTATTGATGAATAGGTGGCTGTATAACAAGAGGCAGTAATTGATGATGAAGCCACTAATTCATTCAAGGATCTGATTTCTTCTACAAGGGATTTTCACCCCTTATGAACTTATGGGTAAATGGTGGAAAATGATCATCAGAAGATAAATTGGTACTAACATGTCGGTTTTTTTGTTTCAGGAAAATTACCACACTTATCTAATTTTCCATCAGTTTTGTCAGGACCATTTTAATTTCTTAATATAATTGGTATATCAGATCTCCTAATTTGTTCATTTGATTCTAGTGGTAATGGCTCACTCTCCAGTTCCAGTTCTTCCAAATTTTTAAACTTTTTACATATATCTTGAAAATCAAACACCATATCCTCTGAGTTTGTCGCCCCCTTTTATTGTCCCCTGTATCATAAAAGCATTTTTTGAAAGTGAAATGTCTTGCAAATGTACAGTATTAAAAATAGAAGTGCTCAGGGGAATCTATGCATATATTAGCTGCTGACACTATGGCTTGATACTCGGCACAACAGATATAAGTATATAACAAGTTGAGCACTCCTCAACCCAAAACTAAAATTATAAAAATTAGTAATAATGAAAAATAATCCTATGAATCACCAAGATCTTACTCCTGATGTCTCCCGTTCAAGTACTAACAAGGCCTGACCCAGACGAGATCCGGTGCATTGAGGGTCGTGTGGCTAGAGGCCTTACCCCCAGTGTCTATCGTTAATTACAATATGTGAACTCAAAATGCTTTACATAAATCGTGATAATATACAAAAACATAAATCAACAGAGTGCTTAAATCCATAAATTCATATAGAGACATAAACACTGAAAAATACACTAGGACAGAATGAAAAGAGTTCCACAAGTTGTGATGAGAAGATAGGATGAGCTCCTCAGGTTGTCACCATCAAACGCTTGTAAGGACTCTCAGGTGTCATTGGTCACACACAAGGCTTGCTAAGTAATGTGACCCTCCCATATAAGAGTGGTCACATGTGCATAGTGAAATTCCCCCAGGGAAAGGGCACCTTCTCCAGTTTCCTGTCATTCTTCTCTGTCTTGTCCTCTTCCATTTTTGGTGCCCCCTTTTTTTTTTTTTTTTTTTTTTTTTCTTGTCCTGGTCACTGATATGTTTTTCTTTTCAGATATAACTATCCTTTCAAACCAACAGGTTTCCTTCCTTTAAAATTACCTTAATGTTTCTTGTAGGGTCTAAATACCGTTTGAGCTTCCTTTCAAATATAAAATTGTCAGTCCCTGAGCTAAATTATCTTGCAGCATTTTTTGCTGTTTTACTTCAATTACTTCCTTTTCCACACAATTCAATTTCATATTAAATTTTATATCCAAATCCTCCATAATAGCTATTTCTTTTAAACAAATGATCTCTTGCTGAAATAAAATGATGTCATCCTGAAGTTTATTCAGTTCTACAGTCTTGGATTATATTCTAATCCACATAAGGTCAAAAGAACAAGCTGATAAAGTCTCTGACTTTGGCTGTGTGAAATTTTTGACCATTCCTCAACCACGTCCTTCATTTGCAAAATATTTGTGGTTTCCTTGCATGACCTGCAAGTTTCAAATCCCCCTACAATATTTTAATGGGCTTGAAATCAGAGCTATTACTAGATCAGTCTGACCTTCCATTTCTTTTTCATGGATTTAGTAGTGTGTTTTGAAACCTTATCAACTTGAAAGATCATCTGTTCAATGCCAACTTTTGGACATGGCCTCAAAATCGCAAGTACACCTTTGATATGATGCAGATTTCATAGTTGACTCGTTAAGTGAAAACTGTCCAGGCCTTGAACCAGCAAATAAACCCCAAACCTTAATTTCCACTACCCTACTTCACAGTTGGAATGAGGTTCTTTTCCCCTAATGCTGTACTTACTATGCACCAAACAGCTCTTATCTTTGATTCATTGGTCCACAGCACATGAATGCCTGGTTTTCGCCTATATGTTTTTGAGAAAATGGCAGTCTTTCTACTTTTTTTTTTTTTTTTTTTTTTTTTTTTTGTGACAAATATGGGTTTTTATTAGTTTAGGTTTTGAAAATACACCATATACATTTTTGAGTCACTTGTTAAATGTTTTATTTTTATCAATAAGAACTGTTTGAATGAAAATTTAATGTTTGCCTGATGAAATATGTTGAAAAAGTTAACAATTTTCATAAGGTATTTACTCAAATTCACCCTCAAACCTCCTTTCTAGAGCATATCCCAGCATTATTTTTTCCTGTAACGAGAAAACCATGTATATGTTTGTGGAAAAGGACAGAGAGCAGTGGGTGACGGGTAGAGTTTGTAGTCCAGTGGACAGGGCTTACAACCTTGGTTGAGATTTCAGTGCACTGTCCTACATCGTTTTATAATTATAGAGGATTTAAATAGCTCCAACAGTTCCTGCTGTGCAAAATGAAGGAAGACCGTACAGTTCCAATAGGATTCAAAAGATATAAGGTTTCTGAATTTCTTAAATCTGGGCCTAGACGTTGAGCGGCAGCATATTTGCGTTATATTAAAAAAGGACATATGTGCCGAGAGCGCCCGATCTACTCTTTCGATTGGGACCTTTCCCGATCATGTGATGGCGCGTCACGGCGGTCACATGACCCTAAACCCAGCCCACTTCCCGGCTTCTGAAACCCTTAAAGGGCTGGGAGGTGCCGGCCTGAAGGGGTTAAAGTGGTTCTAAACATTAACCACTTCCCGACTGCACTGCAGGGTTGGGTGGCCGTTTATAAATGGCCTCCCCGCACACTGCTTGTGCGCGCTCCCTGGGAGCGCGCAGCACTGCAATCCGGTGCCCGCTGTGTCCTCCGGACACAGTGAAACACCGATCGTCAGACGGGACCTCTGTACGAGGTCCCCGATCATGTGATCACTGATTGGCCAATCAGTGATCATATGCAAAGTAATAAGCAAGATGTCACTTCTGACATCATTGCTTGCTACCTATGAAATCTGTGAATGATCACAGAGGACACATGGTACAAGGCTATTCACAACAGCCTTGTACCATGTGACAAGCTGTGACCAATCACAGCTCACTCAGTAGTTCTCAATGGCTGCAAGAATGCAGACAGAGAGAAATGATTGCTTTTACATGCTATATATGCTGTTACACAGTTAATATTTATGTTAATGTACATGAGAATTCATATAGTTTATTCTTTGTACCATTTCCTATGGATATTTCTATAGTTAGTTATGCTGCCATCCAGTGGCCTTATTTGGTAATGCACTTGTTTTCATATTACCTCCCTGAGATTTATGACACCATTCCTTTGTATATGAAGCTCCTCCCTTCTTCTTTGAGTACAGCACTTCCTGTGTCATGGATGCAGCTAACAGTCCACATGTAACAGGGACACATGTATTCTGCATAGTACGCTACAGAAAGTATCATCTTTTGACCGCATAATACTGGAAACCATTCATTCTGCTGTATCCTGTTGTCACATGTACAGAATAAAGCAACTTCTGGATGAACACTGTATTGGTGAGTCTAGCTATCTGATAAGGATTGTCCACAGGGATTATATCTGCTTATACAGGCTAGGCATAGAGGTCTCACAAGGGATAAATCGCTATCACAACAATCTGAGTCAGAATACTATATGGGTGTAAAAGCAATCAGTGTAAAAAAAAAAACAAATTTTCATTACCCCCCAAAAGTAGTACAGTGTCACCATGTTGACACTGTACTGCAAGGGTGACAGTATGTAAAAAATAAATATAAAAAAAAAATAAAAATGTAAAAAAAAATAATGTTTAAAAATTATAATTTTTGGTTATAAACTAATGTTGGCTTATTCATTTATTTTTTTTTTAACTAAAAAGATAACTGAATACATTTTGGCCAAGATTTATAATGAAATATTATTTATTTGCAAAATTTTATAAGAAAAACACTTTTTTTCAAATTTTGGACATTTTCATTTACATAGCAAAAAAAAAATAAAAATTCCAGCGGTGAATGAATACCACCAAAATAAAGTTTTATCTGTCTGAAAAAAAAAAATGGTAAATTCATATGGATACAGTGTTGCATGACCGTGCAATTGTCAGTCAAAGTTGATAGCGCTGAAAATTGCTCTGGTCAGGAAGGGGGTAAAAGTGTCCGGACTGGAAGTGGTTAAGAGCTGATTCATACATGTGCGGTGTGGATTGAAGCTCAGGTTTCATAGCTAATTGATACAGTAGTTCACATCAGGTTCAGGACAGGATTATCTCAGGATCTTAGCGTGTTCGCACAAATGCAGTTTAGTGATGGTTCCCATAGACGTCAATAGCTTGTAATCTGCACCTGAACTGGAGGAGCGCACTGCTCAGAAATCGGACATGACTCTTTCAAACAGCACTGCATCTGCACCAACCTTGAATCAGACATATGTGAACAGGCACCATAGGAAGTATGTTATTTCACATGTCATGCGGATTCGATGCGGTTCAAACCGCATCCAATGTGCATATTTGTGAACAGGCACGAATAGTTTTTTACCTTTTTTTAATGCGTTCTCTGTATTAAGGTAAAAAACCTTGCACTGCCTGCCCCTGCAGTACCCTCCCCCACCAACACTTCCGTGAGTCCTTTATGGATCCAGTGCTGTGCTGGGCTGCAAGGCTTCTCTCTCCCTTCTTTCTGGTCTCACAGGCTTTGCTGTGGGAGTTGCTGTCACTCAAAACCAATGAACAGAGGAAGGGGAGGGGCTGAGCAATGCTGTGTGTCTAAGGGCATATACAGCCTGGCTCGGGAGTGAGCCCACATGTCTACCCCCATAGCAAGCCGCTTTCTATGGGAGGCAGGCACAGAAAAGGAGGAGCCAAGATCCCAGAGGAGGAAGTTTGGGGAAGCTCTGTGCAATACAATTGCAAAGAGCAAGTAAGTATAAATCTTTTATTTTAATAAAATAACATTTAAAAATATTAACTTTACAATCCCTTTGACCAGTCTTGTAATCCACTGACAGACAACATAGCCAAATGTAGGACCTGCCAGTGTAGTGAAGGGCACAGGTAAAGCTATTGGTTTGTTTTAAAAGCATATCTAAATCAAAGAACAAAAATTGATAGTATTGCAGTATACCGGTCCTTTGATATTGTAGCTGCATTAGTTGTACTCACACTTTTTTCCGCAGTTTTCACCTAGTAATTCTGCTAATAACATACTTCCTGTCCTATGGTGACAACTCTACTAAACAGCTTTGACACCCTAGTTAGGCACATCTCCTCGACATGCAAATACTTTTCCTTTGCTTCCATGCTGCTTCACTCAGCCACAAAAAGCAAATAATGTGGTACTTCTGGATAAGAAGAAATGTGGTCTTCTTGATGTGACGGTTTTGGTGATTGACCCAGCACTGTCGCATATGGAATGTGTAAGCTCAGAATACAGCACAGCTCTTCCTTGTTCCTGCTGGCTAAATCGAGCAGCAGCAGGAGAGGGAATGTAAGGCAATTTTATACTTTTGGAGAGGGCAGCATTACAGTGAGCCTGTTGCTTGGTCTGCATGGGCGGAACACTTTATCTGCCTTGTGGTTTTTAAGTGACTTTCTGACTTTTTTTTTTTTTTTAAGTAAGTATAAAAAAAGATTATTTCTAATGTAATTTTTTTTTGTTGACCTAGATATGCTGCCCTCCAAGGAAGAAAAGAGCAAAAATCCACCTATGTTTCTGTGCATTAAAGTAGGCAAACCAATGAGGAAATCTTTTGCCACACAAACTACAACTATGGTACAACAATATGACCGGAAAAGAAAGCAACCTGAATATTGGTTTGCAGTCCCACAAGAGAGGTTAGTATCGATTTTCTTTGTGTGTAATATACCCATTTCTTAATTGACATCATTTATTTTGGTAGATTGGGTTACTGCATACCAATTAAAAAAAAAAAAATCAATAAAATAGACCTTGCACTAATTACCTAAGGGACCCCCTGCCCCATAATCAATTTGTGCATCAAAGTGTTTTACCCAAGGTTCACTCTACTGCGTGCCACGCGGCCTGTGTTTTCTCAGGCACGGCAGCCCATTCATCTGAATGGGATGCTGTGCTCATGTATCTTGCCGAAAAAAAAAAAAAGGTGCTTGCACCCTTTTAAAAAAAAAAAAAAAAAGAAAGTATTTTCGACCATGCGGTTTCCCTGTAGTCCCCCGCACCAGTAAACCCACTGTAGGCTGAAATGCATGGGAGTGCCATTCAGAATGAATGGCAGACCCGTGCGTCTCGTAAAAGCAGCACGATTTGGTTGCGGGCAACCAGCCTGCAGATTGTGAGCAAGTGTAAACCTAGGCTTAAGAAAAAACCCTGTGAGGAAGAACAAAGTTAAAAAAAATTCACTTACCTTCCCCCAGCTTCTACCTACAATACCTAGGCAAAGGTGACATCACAATCACTTCTGAGGGTATAGTAAGTATGCGGTTTAATTTTTTTTTTTTTCTTTTATGCAACAATTTGGTAAAGGGGAGGAGGCCCTGATATAATTAGTAGATGTCTTTTTTAGTGCAAAATCTGCTTTGTTCCTCCCACCAGCTTTTCTCAAACTGAAGGAAACCTGGAGGAATGGCTGAAACAACTTTCCTGTTTCAAGGAACCCCTGCTAGTAATTACTATATCTACATCTCATTGATTATTGTGAGGCTGCAAAGTACAGGTATTGATGAAAAAAAGAGGTATACCCAGGAGACATCAGCTGTCAGTGCAGATCGGAGGTCAGTGCAGGAAAAACAGTCTTGGACAGTTGATAAAAGCCTGTTCATGCTATTTTAATCTGCTTTATCATTACCGTATTTTTCGCTTCATAACACTCACTTTTTTTCCCCCCAAAAAAGGGGGGAAAACGTCCGTGCGTCTTATGGAGCAGACGGTCCGGTATTTTCACCGCCGCTGTGTCAGAATACCGGGCCGGTCGCTCAACTCTGCAGCAGGACCTTACCTGTTCCTCGGTCCAGCGCTGCACAGTCTTCCCGCGTCGGCTTCTTTAGTGTAGGATCTCGGCTTGACAGCCGGGTGCCCAGTGCGCATGCGCGAGAAGCACTGCACTCTGTGAATGGTACGGCGTCTTCTGGGACACATGACAGGTCCCAGAAGGCGTCAGACCAATCACAAAGCACAACACTTCTCGTGCACTGGGCACCCGGCTGTCAGCCAGGTGCCCACACTAAAGGGAGGACATTTCTGCGGAAGTGGGAGCGGGTACCTGTCAAATTCAGGTACCCGCTCCCCCTCCCTCCCCAAAGGTCAGCAGTCTCTTAATCATCCCCTGTACTGTCTGCAGTCTCTGGTCATCCCCTGTACTGTCTGCAGTCTCTGGTCATCCCCTGTACTGTATCTGCAGTCTCTTGGTCATCCCCTGTACTGTATCTGCAGTCTCTTGGTCATCCCCTGTACTGTATCTGCAGTCTCTTGGTCATCCCCTGTACTGTATCTGCAGTCTCTTGGTCATCCCCTGTACTGTATCTGCAGTCTCTTGGTCATCCCCTGTACTGTATCTGCAGTCTCTGGTTATCCCCTGTACTGTCTGCAGTCTCTGGTCATCCCCTGTACTGTCAGGCCACTGAAGGATTGCCACGTATTGATCACCTACACATTATCACTTGCATGCGAGTGAAGTTGGAGCACCATCATATATGTTTTGGAACTTGATTATAGGGTATAGATTTGTTTGCTGACCGATTGGAGTGCTATTCACATTTATGTTGTGTGATATATGACACATAGCACTGTTTGCACTATTTATGTCCCCATAGAGGGAATTCACGTGTTGCACATATTATTAATTTTGATCCCTCAAGTGTGAATTTTAGGGGGGATTGAGTGTTGTGCACTTATATTTATGCTTATCACTTATATATTTTTTGTTTTTGCTATTTATTTGATTTTTGGTAGTATTTTATGAGTTTTTGTTTAGCGCTACACTGTGTATATCATTTGCCACTTACACTTATTGGGTATAAGGTTAGTGTTAGCAGCTTTAGGGTTAGGGCTCCATTTAACCTCCCTGGCGGTATGATTATTTCAGATTTTTGGTGCTGAAAGCGGTACCATTATTTTGCATGGAAATATGTAGTTTTTTTATTGTAGGCTGTTATATTTAGGAATAACTCACTGAAATCTGTCCGAACAAGAGTCTATTAAACATCCCGGGTAGGATAAAATTTGAAACACAAAATCATAAATTATAATTTAATAAATAATCATAAAAAATAATAATATAATAATACATTTAATTCAATAATATAATCAAACCAAAAACACTGAAATTTGAAATACAGAGGCAAATTCGCACATCGCTGAGCAAAGTCGCAAAATCGTTTTCAGTGTCTGATGAGGAATTTCCCCACGAATCATTATCACTCAATTCTGCAAGTGGTTCTGATTTACTATCGCTGTTCTCTAGCTGATCTAAACCGCTTTTGACCTAAAGGGACGCTTTTTGGACACCATGGATGTTTCTCAGTTTCCAGGCAGAAAGAACAGACAAAATGCAGGCGGGGCGCAGGACAAAGCACTAGGGACAAAATGTATGTGAAATTGGTTGAGACAGCAATGTTTTACTATGAAAAATGTAAAAAAAAAAAAATGACATTATTTAAAATTTTTAAATTTCCCCCGCCGCCGGCGGCGGCGCCCGTACGTCCCGACGTCACAGGGACAGGACACAGAAGCCGGATGCCGGCATCGGCCGGAGGAGATGGCCGGGGACGCTGCAGGGGACACATCGTGGGAGCGCAGGGTAAGGTAAGTGAAGAACACATGCCGGAGCAGCGCCGCATGGTATTCCCGAGTGTAGCTCGGGGTTACCGCTCTTGGTACTGAAGTGTTACCCCGAGCTACACTCGGGAATACCGCCAAGGAGGTTAAGCGCAGGAGGATCCTCTTTACACTGGTAAAAAGGTGCATCAAGGATCAGAGGTGTGCACAGGAGAGGACTCCTCTCTATAAAAGAAATGGCAAGACTTTTAAACTGCCCAAAGTCTTCAGAGGAGCGTCCATTGCGCAGGCACAGTCTGGTTACTGTCGAGGAGAGTTCTCAGAGTGATGCAGAGCAAACTGTTAATTTTAAGCCATGCTCATCGTAATTTACAAGTACTTTCAATGGGCGAGGGAGCTGAAGTAGAAGCCTACGCTAGTTTATCAGAAGAGGAACGACAGCCAATCAGTTCTTCCAAAATTGGCCAGCCAGTTCTAGGGGCCTTTCACATACATAAGATCATCTCGCATTCTGGTCACAAGGTGTCCGCTCATGTTTAAGTTTAAAAAGGCTGAATAATTTCCCCTTTTAAAGCTTTTGTAAACTTCAGACATGAAATTTGAACAAAGCACATCCCTTTTATGGTATGCATTTGTCTCATTTAAGAGCAGTAAGCGTCATTTCTGTCTGCTGCTTTGTTGCTCTATCAGCATGAATCACTTCTGACAAGTTTTCCTGATGCCAAGAGAAGAATGGTGACACGGGAGGGATCTCCAGCAGATTGACAGCATCAGCTCTCTTCCTGAGTGCTGTGTGAAGTGGGTGTGTCCCTTCCCTCTAATCCGCTCTCAGTGCTCTCTTCACTGAGCTCTGCAGAGTGTAACTTCACTTCTCTGCCCCCCTTTTTCTGAACGCTCAGACAAGCTTTATAAATTTGGCTGTTTGAAGAGATGTAGAGAGGAGAATACTGCAGATAAACAAACATCCTATGTAGGAGGGTTTGTTTAATCTCTGTGTATCTCGCCTGAGGCCAGTAACTTCACTGGGTATATGTAAGGGTTTACAACCACTTTGCTGGCGCATCCTGGGCTTTTGAGGGGTTTGACACTGGGGGGGGGGGGGGGGGGTGTAGGGTCATGTAACTGTAAGGAATTAAGTTTTAATAACTGGCATCCGTTTTGTATATCGGTTTCCTCTTGTACCAAATTGTATTGTAACTGTAATGTCTACCTTCATTTTGTTGGCGCTATATAAATCCTATATTATAATAATGCCTCCATTTCTAAATGTGTGAACAGTTAGTTTCAGTTTTGTAATTTCTATCTCGTTTTCTTAGACTAGTTTCATTTCTGTAAACGGAGCTAACTTATATGGTATCCTTCAACTATTTGCAGTTTCTGTTCTTCACATAACTATATTGATAAGAGTGGAATGTTTCATTGCCATCCTAAGATTAAGCAACGCCTACTGAGTTCTGTATAACCGTTCTTGTTTTGCATTAAACTTTCAGAGATTTAGCTTGCACACTTCGGTGTCCGGGGCTTTATTTCCCCCAGGCCTGAGGGTGAAAATAACGAGGACAGGGGCTACAGACATAGGCTGATTCCTATCAGTGACCATTGTGATTGGTTGTCAGTGGTCACATGATTTGAAAAGCTCCTGATCGCAAGTAGCAATTGGGAACTTTCTGTGAGGTGCCAGTAAACCTGCTGGGAGCACACAGGGCATGCAACAAAATATCATGCCTTTCTCTTTTTTGCTCAAATATCTCCAACTATCAGAGATGAAATGTACAATGTGTTGATAACACACTATATGACTTTTCACTAATGCTGTGTAATGGAAATCTACCTGATGAAGGCTTGCTCTCATTAGGTAGGTGTTAAAGGATCAGCCTGTTACCAGGTCAAATGAAGGTACCTACACTGCTTGCATTTGCATTAGAAAATATAAATGCATGCGAGTATGCACTAAAAATTACAGAGCTGGAGTAATTTGTGAATTTTATATTTGCCTAGAGCAGTGGTTCTCAACCTTTCTAATGCCGTGACCCCTTAATACAGTTCCTCATGTTGTGGTGACCCCCAACCATAAAATTATTTT